TTCAGAATCCTGGGTGGACCACACACTGTTAGTTTCAGCAGACGAACGCGCCGTCGCCTCCTTCAAGATCCTGGCTGCAGACAAGGTTAGGGGTTTTGTGGGGGTGGAATGGTGTTGGGCTCGTGTGGTGATTTTGTCTGTGTGTGAGAGAGAATGTGTGTTGCAGGTACTATCACTCTGTTATTCACCATCCCTCCCTCTCCCTCCATCTCTTTCCCTTCTCTGTCAGAACTTCATCACGGCTGAGGAGCTGAGGCGGGAGCTGCCTCCAGACCAGGCGGAGTACTGCATCGCTCGCATGGCGCCCTACTCGGGCCCCGATGCAAAGCCCGGAGCCCTCGACTACATGTCCTTCTCCACCGCCCTCTACGGGGAGAGTGACCTCTAAGAGCACACCAGAGGGGGGAGAGAGAGAGCGAGAGAGAGAGAGAGAGGGAGGGGGACGGGATGAGGTTTGGGGTGAAAGGGGGTGTACATAGAGGCTTGCCAGGCCCATTGCAGAGCAGACTCTCTCCACCCCTCTAGGTCTAGCCTGCAGTCACTGGGAGGGGTGGGAGGAGGAGGAGAGAAGAGGGGAGTGAGTCTGAAGCCAGTGGTTTGATTGGCTCTGTAGAAGAGGGAGGGGCTGCAGGTGGAGAGTCCTGGGAAGTGATTGGTGGACAGCGCTACTGCTCCCTCTAGGTTCTGGTCCTGCAGTGCCCCTGAGTGTGCAGGTTTTCATCTCAAACTGGTTGGCTGTTGCAAGCGGTTATTGAACGTAACTTACTTTGTTCACAGATCAACTACAATCAAATGCACATCATGTTATGGGGTGAAAACTAGCAACCACGGGTGCACTTCTGGGTCAGGACAGGATGGGAACACTGGTCCCATCTTCACCCCCTGCCTTGGGGGATGGGGGAGCACGAGCTATTCTGATTCTTATACTACTTTGTGTTTATTTTATCTTGCTGGGGGGGTGGGGGGAGTTTGCGTATTAGAACACAGAGATATATGAATGGGAGGGGGGCAGGGGGTTGAACAGAGAATAATGACATATACCCGTACCGCATTTTGCTGGATAAGTGAAACTCGGATATCTAACCTCAACACTTTCCTTTTCTTGTTTGTTTCTTTTCTCCAGCAAATGTGAGTAAGTGGGTTCAATGCTGTACATACTTATTTTTCCAGTACGCAACACAGTCAGAATACTCATCGCAGGCTTGTAGGGCAAAAAAAGTGCCATTTTTAAAAGCAAAAACAACAAATAGAGCAAAACAATAGCAGTTTCACACATTGAGTACCGTAGATAGGTTTGAGTTACTGTGAGTCTCCATTTGGATTAAACGTTTTTTCAAACGGTCAAATATGGAATCCTGTCATATTTAGTTGATGGAAGTATACGTGAGGCCTTTATAGCTATGTAAACATCACATGACATAAACATGTTGCCATTTATGAAACTTTGCTTTCGTGATATATCACTTTGACATGGAGGCATATAAGGTGCTCATGTTTACCCAATCTATTCATTTATTATAGTTTCAACTGAAGAACATATTAAGAAATATCCCCTAGAAGCACAGCATGTCAGGTCATGTAAAGCTTACATGGACAAAGTGAAGGCCTAACACTACCCTCTGCTGAGTTGTTTCTATAGGAACACCGCTTTAGAGAGTTCCCCGAGGAAGTTGGAAACAATGGGAGAACTAAAAATGTGCCTGTTAATGGCTACAGCCCTGTCTCTCGCTCCCTAGCAACCCTCCATCTCCCTGTCCGTCTTCTCTCTGCAGCAGGACGGACAGGGACCCAGCGTAAAGAAGTGCGAAGGGAGGGCGCCAGAGTCTTAATAAACATTCCATTATGTCTTAATAAAAGGAAATTACTGTCTACCAATCTATGCAATTATCTATATCCAATATCACAGAGTTCAGAGAGAATTGATTTGAAGAAATTCATTGACTAAATTAAGTGCAAGACATTGGTTTTATTTCTTTAATATTTGTAAATGGGAGGGGTTGAGGAGCTTAGGGGGAGGGGAAAGCGAGCCAGAGGGACTGGAGGAAAAAAAAGAAGCCTTGGGCCAAAAGCTTGTACTTTTACCTGGAAGGCTGGAAAGCATTGAGCTTTGGAATTGTGATTTCTTCTTTTTTGTACTCTTTAATATCAAACCTTATCTGCTGTACTGGAAACTGCAAAATGGCCTTCTGTCTAAAAGTGAATTTCACAAGCACACATAAAGTTTCCTTATAAAATACTACTACTTGGTTGTCTTTTTTCCCTTTCTCTAGGCCTACTTCTAAATATATATACATAGCCTATGCATCCTCTGTAAAACATATTGTTGGTCATATTTGACTCTGGACAGTTAATGGGCCTACTCATACTAACTTTTTTAAGTAAGCAAATAGTCAGTAATTTCCTCCTGGTAGGATAAGTGTAGGTCAGCTGCTTGCCCTATGGGCTGCTTATTCTGCATGGTTATGTCCACGTGAGGGAGACTTAGGACCACCAGTAGCCTAGTAGTAGACAGACCACCAGGAGTAGTTTTAACCTCAGCAAACGGGCCTATTAACGTTTATGAAACACTAGTAGATTTAGATAAAAATACTATGTGTATTGCTATAACTACTTTTCAAACAATAGCCCACTGTGAATAAGTAGGCCTAAAGTATGACAACCAGTTCCATTTGTGCAGCAGTTATGCACATGTTATTCTCGAACGGAAGGGGGCTGGCTACTTGGGAATAAATCCAAGGTAGGGATTTGACAGGGGAGGTCCTGATGCTCATATAGTCTACGCTCAAATCCAGGATGACAGAGAACCATATTTACAATATAGTGTAGATTTTGAAGAAATTTCCCGTGAACTATTTCTGATTATTCATCACTTGCCACCGGTTTTGCGTAAAAGCGCAACAATTTGGGAACTACCCGTTTTGTCGTGCTACCTGTGAAGAGATCTTCCGCTCACCAACAAAATGGCCTGCTGAAAGTGAAAAGAAAGAAGATAGATAAAAAGCTGTCCTTTCTTGCGTTAACCGCGCTACCAAAGGCTGGCTTGGCTGGCGACTTGCGCACCGCGCTTTGCCACAGAGACCGAAGCGCGCGCAACACCTCTATCGGAGCCACGCGCCTGGGCTGTGGCAGTGGGAAGTATGCTGGTGCTGACTTTCACCTGTCGCGTGCTGCTCATCATCTTGTTCTCAGAGTCTATTCAAACTGAGAGCTCACCGGTAAGTCCTCAAGGATTTATACTTTCACACTTCAGAAGTGCCCATTTTGAGACGTAGTCTAGCATGAACTGTTACATTTTCACTTGCATCTTTTTTTCTTTATAATTTTTTATTCTCTCTGTGATTGTCACCTGAATTTAAACCAACATCGAATCACCGATGATGGTGCGTTTTAAAATATTAAATCTAAACGTGAGTGCAAAACGTTATATTACATCTGTGATCTTGCTGAGTGAAGTAGACTATAATAGCCAGAAAAGAGTGGTTGGCATCTCAAGCAGTGCTAAAACCCTTTTCATTCAGATTGGCTACATCCATGAATTAAGGGCATATACCTGTTACCTTGAGTCATAGAGCTCTCAAAGTGTTCTAAAGTCAGTTTAGTTGTATTTACTAAATGGTTATGGTCAGTACTAGAGTATGACAAGCTGATATAAGATCAGTGTTTAGGGGCCACACCTACCTCCAAGCCATGGAGTGGAATCTGAGAAAGTCTATAAAGCCAATGTTCCCTAAAGAGGAGATGGAGTAGACAAACACTGGACAACTAGCCCGGACCACAGCCCAGAAACCGCCTCAAGGCAAATATTGAAACAATTTTTTTTCTTATACCCGAGGGAAAACGGGCATGTGCCTTCAGAAAGTATTCACACCCCTTGACTTTTGTCACTGGCCTACACACAATACCCCATAATGTCAAAGTGGAGTTATGTTTTTAGAAATGTTTACAAATTAATAAAAAATGATAGCTGAAATGTCTTGGTGTCAATAAGTATTCAACCCCTTTGTTATGGCAAGCCAAAATAAGTTCAGCAGTGAAAATGTGCTTAAGTCAAGTTGCATGGACTCACTCTGTGCAATAATAGTGTTTAACATGACTTTTGAATGACTACCTCATCTCTGTACCCTACACATACAATTATCTGTAAGGTCCCTCAGTTGAGCAATGAATTTCAAACACAGATTCAAGCACAAAGACCAGGGAGGTTTTCCAATGCCTCACAAAGAAGGGCACCTATTGGTAGATGGGTAAAAATAAATAAGACATTGAATATCCCTTTGAGCATGGTGAAGTTATTAATTACACTTTGGATGGTTTATCAATACACCCCGTCCTTCCTAACTCAGTTGCTGGAGAGGAAGGAAACCGCTCAGGGATTTCACCAGAATTTAATGGCTGTGATAGGAGAACTGAGGATGGATCAACAACATTGTAGTTACTCAACAATACTAACCTACAGTAAAGGAAAGGGTGAAAAGAAGGAAGCCTGTACGGAATAAAAATATTCCAAAACATGCATTCTGTTTGCAATAACACACTAAAGTAAAACTGCTAAATGTCCTGAATACAAAGTGTTATGTTTGGGGCACATCCAACACAACACATGACTGAGTACCACTCTTCATATTTTCAAGCATGGTGGTGGCTGCATCATGTTATGGGCAAGGACTAAGGAGTTTTTAGGATAAAAATAAACTGAATCGAGGCAAAATCCTAGAGGAAAATTACTTCAGTCTGCTTTCCAACAGAGACTTGGAGACATTCACCTTTCAGCAGGACAATAACCTAAAACAAGGCCAAATATACACTGGAGTTGCTTACCAAGATGACATTGAACGTTCCTGAGTGGCCTAGTTAGACTTTTGACTTAAATCGGCTTGGAAATCTATGGCAAGACTTGAAAATGGCTGTCTAGCAATGATCAACAACCAACTTGACAGAGCTTGAATCATTTTTAATGTGCAAATATTGTACAATCCAGGTGTGCAAAGTTCTTAGAGACTTGTGCAGAAAGACTCACAGCTGTAATCGCTGCCAAAGGTGATTCTAACATGTATTGACTCAGGGGTGTGAATACTTGTGTAAATTAGATATTTCTGTATTTCATTTTCAATACATTTGCAAAAATGCCTAAAAACATGTTTTCACTTTGTCATTATGGGGTATTGTGTGTAGATGGGTGAGAATCTATTTAATCAATGTTGAATTCAGGCTGTAACACAGCAATGTGGAATAAGTCAAGGGGTATGAATACTTTCTGAAGGCACTATATGTGTTTGAGTGTGTGCATACAGTACATGTGTTTACAGGTTTCAGTGTGTTTGGTTACCATGCCAATTTTGAAGTGTGAGAGAAGGTGTACTTGTACACGACTCGGTGGTGAAAGTGCACCTGTTTAGCATGTCTGCGTGTGTGTGTGCAATGTTTGGTGGTTTGTATTCTACAGGCGTATGACGAATTGCACAAACAGCCTGTTTCTCTGTCCAGCTGTCCTGCCATGCCATAGGGATTCATGGAGAAGAACTCTTCACAAGTGACTGATTCACTACTCTTACTCCGCATATGACGGGTGGGGGCTTATTTAAACATAACAGTTACTGGTATGGATGTAAAAAAAGAAGTGTGCTAGTCTTTCAGCAGCATTTCACAGTCTTAGCCAAAACTCTCTCGAGGTATATCTATATTTTCATATACAGTTATAAAATCAGTCAATCTAACACGAGGTTGCCTAAAACACTGTCACCTTGTTCGTCCACGCTGCACTGCTCAACGTTCTGCCCAGAACACTGACACTAATTGTAGCCGGGAACACATTGTAACACTGCACCTGAACAGAGAATACTGCTCAAGGCTACTAGCTACACTTTGCACCTGGACACTCCTCCTCTGTCTGCCTGCTTGCCAGTCTATTCAGTGGTACTGAACACAGTGACCTCCTAGTTAGAAAGCTATCTCCCCTGTCCTCCAGTCACAATGAGGACGCTACCTCTATCTCGGAGATCTTCAACATGCACACACATATTCAATATGCTTTCCTCCACAAGGAATCAATCGATTAAATAATGCCCTGACCTAGCAGCACAGGCAGTCCTTTCAGTAGCAGTTTTTTTTCAATCAGGGAAAATTATGTAAACAGTGAAACACACACCATGGCAAATTTGCTGAGCTATGACAGAGTGTGTGAGGGAGAGCCGGAGACAAAGAGGTATTGAAGATGGAGGATGGCTGGGGCTCGGGGAGGGGGGGGCAAGGGTAGTAGTGTGAGGGAACGGACGAGGCCATGGTCTGGCTCCAGGGTTATCTGAGTGGGATTGGGAGAGGGAAGGTCAGTGACAAGAGAGGGACCCATGTGTGAGTGCATGTGTGATACCTAGCTTTTAGTGCGATGTCTGGCACTGGGCAGCATGTGTTAGCAATTTAGCACAAGCCTGTGGGCTGCGTTCGGAGTACCTCTCTCTCTCTGTTCTCGTCTCTCCTCCGCCCACCTCACTGGAATGTTGATGTAAAAAAGACACATGGTGTGTCAATAGAAGTTTATCAAATGCAGTCTAGGCCTAGGGCATCCCACTAACGATTAGGGATACCACTGTGCCTATGAATAAGGCTGGAAAAAGCTGCAGTGTACCCATACTATAGCAGGGATACAGGGAAAGCCCTCGGACAGCAAAAAAGAGCCTTGCTCTCATGATGGCAATAAGTGCAGTGGTGGAAAAAGTAACCAATTGTCATACTTGAGTAAAATTATAGATACAGTTGAAGTCGGATGTTTACATACACCTTAGCCAAATACATTTAAACTCAGTTTTTTACAATTCCTGACATTTAATCCTAGTAAAAATTCCCTGTTTTAGGTCAGTTAGGATCACCACTTTATTTTAAGAATGTGAAATGTCAGAATAATAGTAGAGAGAATTATTTCTTTCAGCTTTTATTTCTTTCATCACATTCCCAGTGGGTCAGAAGTTTACATACACTCAATTAGTATTTGGTAGCATTGCCTTTCAATTGTTTAACTTGGGTCAAACGTTTCGGGTAGCCTTCCACAATAAGTTGGGTGAATTTTGGCCCATTCCTCCTGACAGAGCTGGTGTAACTGAGTCAGGTTTGTAGGCCTCCTTGCTCGCACACGCTTTTTCAGTTCTGCCCACACATTTTCTATAGGATTGAGGTCAGGGCTTTGTGATGGCCACTCCAATACCTTGACTTTGTTGTCCTTAAGCCATTTTGCCACAACTTTGGAAGTATGCTTGGGGGTCATTGTCCATTTGGAAGACCCATTTGCGACCAAGCTTTAGCTTCCTGACTGATGTCTTGAGATGTTGCTTCAATATATCCACATCATTTTCCTTCCTCATGATGCCATCTATTTTGTGAAGTGCACCAGTCCCTCCTGCAGCAAAGCACCCCCACAGCATGATGCTACCACCCCGTGCGTCATGGTTGGGATGGTGTTCTTCGGCTTGCAAGTCCCCCCCTTTTCCTCCAAACATAACGATGGTCATTATGGCCAAACAGTTCTATTTTTGTTTCATCAGACCAGAGGACATTTCTCCAAAAAGTAAGACCTTTGTCCCCATGTGAAGTTGCAAACCGTAGTCTGGCTTTTTTTATGGCGGTTTTGGAGCAGTGGCTTCTTCCTTGCTGAGCGGCCTTTCAGGTTATGTCGATATAGGACTTGTTTTACTGTGGATATAGATACTTTTGTACCTGTTTCCTCCAGCATCTTCACAAGGTCCTTTGCTGTTGTTCTGGGATTGATTTGCACTTTTCGTTCATCTCTAGGAGACAGAACGCGTCTCCTTCCTGAGCGGTATGACGGCTGCGTGGTCCCATGGTGTTTACACTTGCGGACTATTGTTTGTACAGATGAACGTGGTACCTTCAGGCGTTTGGAAATTGCTCCCAAGGATGAACCAGACTTGTGGAGGTCTACCATTTTTTTTCTGAGGTCTTGGTTGATTTCTTTTGATTTTCCCATGATGTCAAGCAAAGAGGCACTGAGTTTGAAGATGGGCCTTGAAATACATCCACAGGTACACCTCCAATTGACTCAAATTATGTCAATTAGCCTATTAGAAGCTTCTAAAGCCATGACATCATTTTCTGTAATTTTCCAAGCTGTTTAAAGGCACAGTCAATTTAGTGTATGTAAACTTCTGACCAACTGGAATTGTGATACAGTGAAATAATCTGTCTGTAAAGAATTGTTGGAAAAATTACCTGTGTCATGCACAAAGTAGATGTCCTAACCGACTTGCCAAAACTATAGTTTGTTAACAAGAAATTTGTGGAGTGGTTGAAAAACGAGTTTTAATGACTCCAACCTAAGTGTATGTAAACTTCTGACTTCAACTGTACCTTAAATGAAAGTTACTCAAGTAAAAAGTGAAAGTCACCCAGTAAAATACTACTTGAGTAAAAGTTTAAGAGTATTTGGTTCTAAATATACTTAAGTATCAAAAGTAAAAGTATAAATCATTTCAAATTCCTTATATTAAGCAACGCAGACGGCACCATTTTCTTGTTTTTTAAAATGTACGGCTAACCAGGGGCACACTCCAACACTCAGACATCATTTACAAAATATGCATTTGTGTTTAGTGAGTCCACCAGATCAGAGGCAGCAGAGATCACCACGTGTTCTCTTGATAAGTCCGTGAATTGGACCATTTTCCTGTCGTGCTAAGCATTCAAAATGTAACGAGTACTTTTGGGTGTCAGGTAAAATGTATTGAGTAAAAAGTACGTTATTTTCTTTAGGAATGTAGTGAAGTAAAAGTTGTCAAAAATATAAATAGAAACGTTAAGTACAGACCTCAAACTACTTAAGTAGTACTTTAAAGTATTTTTACTTAAGTACTTTACACCACTGAATAAGTGTCACATTCTCTACGATTGTGTGTGTCATGTACTCAAGTAGTGACTCAAGGACAGGTAAGAGACTTTAGAGGTCATGCATGTGTGGTGTATGGTCCAGTATTAGAGCAATATTCAGATGGCAGAACAGAAATGTTCCAGCATCTTCCCTTTGGATGCAGGCCTGCAAAATACAATACTTTACTCCAGCCATGTCAATGAGCTACAGACTGAGCCCACAGTTGACAGGCAGGGGGGTGAGGCGGGCCTGAAGGGTCTGGAATCGTCCCCTCAATTAGGCCTGTTTATTTACAGAGCTAGCAAAACCAGCTCTCACAGGTACAGGAGCAGGTGAAGGCCAAGATATATATACACACACATACAGACTCATTTCCCTGGTTTCTATTTTAAATGTTCCCATACTTTGACCATGTGTTCACTGCTGCAGTGCTTATCTTTTACGTGCTCCCTCTCTCAGCTTTTCCTAGCGTGACACTGAAACGCTGTTCCTGTGCCAGACAAGCAGCAGACACTAGCCAAGGCACCAACAAATATCTCCTTTTTAATCCCGCTCTCTCACCAACTCTGCTTAAGTCTATCCACACCAATACACTCCAAACCTCCAAATCTTTCTCTGATACAGTACGCTGCTGGGGGTCAAAGTGTGTCATATGAGAGTACAGGTCAGCAGGGTGTAATTGCATTGTACTGCCTGTGTTGCTGCTTGTGTCCAGCCATTTCTGATCACAGAAAACATGTGGCCCCGGGGCTGTGCGCTGGACTGCCACAGGGGGCGCCACCGGACAGTATGTGGCAGCAACGGACGCCTTTACAAGTCCCTGTGTACATTCCAGAGAGCCCAGTGCATCAACACTCAGCTACGGACGGCACCACGAGCACACTGTGCAGGTAAGTACCCTTTAGTGAACATAAACTGTGTACATTCTATGAAAGTAAGTCATAGACGCCTCCATCTATACACACGTATTCACACTATACACATATATACATACCATCTATTATTCACCATATATACCAGGGATGGGCAACTTTGATGGGGGTGGGGGCCACTAAAAAATCTGAACTCATCATGATGGGCTGCAGTTGCTCTCTCCCCCCCTCTCACATTGCGATTACATTTTGTGCAATTCTATACATTTTGCCATGGGGTGTAGAGAAAATGTTGCAGTTTTAAAGCAAATTTGTTGCAATTCTACTCATTTTGCCATGGGGCAGAGAGGAAAATGAGCTGTTTTACTGCTAATTTCCTGCAATTCTACACATTTTGCCATAGGGTGGCGAGAAATGTTTGCAGTTTTTAATATGATATCTGAGTGAGACTGACTAACAAAATCAATGGGGGGCCCCGCGGCCGGTAATTCGACCATGATAACAAGTTTAGACAGCTGGCCGCTAAACTAATTTAGCAATCTGGAAGAAAAATGCTGACATTGGAAAATTGACTGACTATCAGTCAGTGGAGGCTGCTGAGGGGAGGACTGCTCATAATAATGGCTGAAATGGAGTGTAATGGAGTGAATGGAATGGTATCAAACACATGAAAACCCCCCCAAAACATGTTTGATACCATTCCATTCACTCCATTCCAGCCATTATTATGAGTCATTCTCCCCTCAGCAGCCTCCACTGCTATCACTGACTGACATAACAAGAGAAAAACTGCTGATGCACAACCACATTTCGAAATTGCACCTTGTGTATTCTACTATTCTAACTCTCAACAGTAAGTTGAGACCCCGACTGAGTTCCTAAAAACTCAGTCAGTTTTTTTGTTGTTGTGGAAATTGATCCGAGGGCCTCAAAAGGGCCGCCAGTTGACCATCCCTGATATATACAGTACACACAATCTATACACACTTCTGCATTGATTATATATGCCAATGGAAGTAGTAGAGGTCATTGCTGGACATCCCCCTTCAGATTCCACCCAGTCCAAGTGCCAGCTTGCTCGTAGTCAGGCCCTGGAGTCAAGTGTCCGCAGCCACACCGTCCCAGAATGCAGTGCGGACGGAAGCTTCCTGCAGGTATTTCAAATTTAATTCAATTCAAATTCAATTCAAATTCAATTACAGAAAATCTAAGCAAATCAAACTTTATTTGTCACTTGCGCCGAATACAACGGGTGTAGACTTTACCCTGAAATGCTTGCTTACCAATGATGTAGAGTCAAAAAATTATAATAAAAAGAAAAATAGTAACACAAGGAATAAAATACACAAGAATGGAGCTATCTACAGGGAGTATCAGTACCAGATCAATGTGCAGGGGTACGAGCTATTTGAGGTAGATACAGTGCCTTCGGAAAGTATTCCGACCCCTTTACTTTTTCCACATTCTGTTACGTTACAGCGTTATTCTAAAATGGATTAAAAAATAAACAATCCTCAGCAATCTACTCACAATACCCCATAATGACAAAGCGAAAACAATAAATGTTTGCAAATGTATTACAAATAAAAAAGATACCTTATTTACATAAGTATTCAGACCGTTTGCTATGAGACTCGATGTTAAGCTCAGGTGCATCCTGTTTCCATTGATTATCCTTGATGTTTCTACAACTTGGAGTCCACCTGTGGTAAATTCAATTGATTGGACATGATTTGGAAAGGCACACACCTGTCTATATAAGGTCCCACAGTTGACCGTGCATGTCAGAGCAAAAACCAAGCCATGAGGTCGAAGGAATAATCAGGCCTTTATGGTAGAGTTACCAGACGGAAGCCAATCTTCAGTAAAAGGCACATGACAGCTCGCTTGGAGTTTGCCAAAAGGCACCTAAAGGACTCTCAGACCATGAGAAACAAGATTCTCTGGTCTGATGAAACCAAGATTGAACTCTTTGGCCTGAATGCCAAGCATCACGTCTGGAGAAAACCTGGCCACCATCCCTACGGTGAAGCATGGTGGTGGCAGCATCATGCTGTGGGGATGTTTTCAGCGGCAGGGACTGGGAGACTAGTCAGGATCGAGGGAAAGATGAACGGAGCAAAGTACAGAGAGATCATTGATGCAAACCTTCTCCAGAGTGCTCAGGACCTCAGACTGGGGCGAAGCTTCACCTTTCAACAGGACAACGACCCTAAGCACACAGCCAAGACAACGCAGAAGTGGCTTCGGGACAAGTCTCTGAATGTCCTTGAGTGGCCCAGTCAGAGGCCGGACATGAACCCGATCGAACATCTCTGGAGAGACCTGAAAATAGCTGTGAAGCAACGCTCCCCATCCAACCTGACAGAGCTTGAGAGCATCTGCAGAGAAGAATGGGAGAAACTACCCAAATACAGGTGTGCCAAGCTTGTAACGTCATACCCAAGAAGACTCAAGGCTGTAATCGCTGCCAAAGGTGCTTCAACAAAGTACTGAGTAAAGGGTCTGAATACTTATGTAACTGTAATATTTCCGTTTTTTATTTTAAATAAATTTGCAAACATTTCTAAAAACCTGTTTTTGCTTTGTCGTTATGGGGTAATGTGTGTAGATTGATGAGGGAAAAAAACGATTTAATCAATTTTAGAATAAGACTGTAACGTAACAAAATGTGGAAAAAGTCAAGGGGTCGGAATACTTTTTGAAGGCACTGTATGTACACGAAGGCACGGTAAAATGACTAGGCATCAGGATAGTAATAAGAGTAAAATAAAGAACAGAGTAGCAGCAGCAGCATACACTAAGTGTACAAAACATTAGGAACACCTGCTTTGACCAGGTGAATTCAGATGAAAGCTATGATCCCTTATTGATGTCACTTGTTAAATCCACTTAAATCAGTGTAGATGAAGGGGAGGAGACAGGTTAATGAGGGATTTTTAAGCCTTGAGACTACTGAGACATGGATTGTGTATGTGTGCCATTCAGAGTGTGGATGGGCAAGACAAAATATTGAAGTGCCTTTTAACGGGGTATGGTAGTAGGTGCCAGGCGCACTGGTATGAGTGTGTCAAAAACTGCAACGCTGTTGGGTTTTTCACACTCAACAGTTTCCCGTGTGTATCAAGAATGGTCCACCACCCAAAGGACATCCAGCCAACTTGACACAGCTGTGGGAAGGATTGGAGTCAACAAATGGCCAGCAGCCCTGTGGAACACTTTCGACACCTTGTAGAGTCCATGCCTCGAAAAATTGAGGCTGTTCTGAGGGAAAAAGGGGGTGCAACTCAATATTAGGAACGTGTTCCTAATGCTTTATGCACTCAGTGTATGTTGAGTGTAAAAGTGTGCGTTTGTATTTATGTTGTGTTGGTATGCATATGTGTGTGTGTGTGTGTATGCAGTGTATGTGAATGTGTGTGGGTTTTGTGTGAGAGTGTCAATGTAGTGTGTCTGTATGTATATATAGTCTTGTGAGTGTGCATAGAGTCAGTGCAAATAGTCTGGTTAACCATTTAATGAACTATTTAGCAGTCTTATGGCTATTTAACAGTCTTATGGCTTGGGGGTAGAAGCTGTCTCGGAGCCTGTTGGTCCGAGAGCCGATGCTTCGGTACCGTTTGCCGGACGGTAGCAGAGTGAACAGTCTATGGCTACCCTTTAGTGAGCATACATTTCAGTACTTGGCTTTGATTAAATTGGCAAAACATAGGTTCTGACAAATGTCCCACTTTCTCAGGTGCAGTGCCACAACCAGACTGGGTACTGCTGGTGCTCTACTCCAGATGGGAAGCCTGTCAGTGGGACCTCTGTCCTGCACCTCAGACCCAACTGCACAGGTGAGACAGAGTTTAGATCAAACAGGCAATGGGAAATAGCTGTGAATTAGCATCTATCAATCCACCCATAAAACAGTTCACACAGCCCTCTTTCTGGTGTGTTGTGTTGTGCCATGAGTCATTTGTCTGAAATGACACAGATGACTGATCTGGAGTTAGCCCAAAGAGGTGAGAATTCACCTGACTTACACGCATAGGTACTGTACTGTATATCAATCAATAGTGCTCCACTGACACTAATATAAATACTCACTCAAACACTGCCACACACATACCTACTCTGGTACGGGCTTTAATCACAGTCAGTTTGGTCCTTGAAATGTTCTTGTCTCTGTGGACACAGGTGAGGGTGGTCCCTCCCGGCCCACCGCTGACCCTAGCAGGCCCCAGTCTGCAGCAGGTGAGAGGAGTGGACATGGAGAATCTCCATTGAACATGCTTTTAAGTCTAGCACTAGGCTTAATCTGTCTCCGGGAAACCGTCCCATAATGATGGACATTTTCAGAATGATACTACCATATTGTTTGTTTACACTAATATCACTCTATTTCCTGTACAGGAATCACCGCTCCTCCGCTCTGGGTGACCATCCTGTTGAACTCTGACTCCAAAGGGAATCGTTCTGTAAAACACCCTACAGGTAAGGAGTTTTTTTTTAATGAGCTTCCATAGCTATCCCTTCTGTGAGATAATGTTTAAGTGTTTGTAATGATTAGTGTGTGTGTGTGTGTGCACATATGTGTTCATGTGCGTGTGCGTACATTCGTGCTTCCACAGACAGTCATCAGACGTGTGAGAGGGAGAGAGCAGCGTTGATGGCCGAGGTGCATCTTCTGTGGCAGGAGGAGCGCTTCATCCCAAAATGCAGTGCAGACGGGCGCTACAGCCCCATCCAGTGCCACGTCACCACGGGGTACTGCTGGTGTGTCAGGGAAGACACGGGACGGCCTCTACCAGGCACCTCTGCCAGGTATGGCCTCAAACAAGGCACCTAGTGGATAGAGAAATGTGGATAACGCTTTATTTTACAGCCTGATAATTATCAGGTAGTTACATAGGAATGACTTGTACCAGATTAACTAGGCAGTACAATAAAGCTTTACCTAAATGCATACTGCACTCCCATGACACACACAAGCCGCTATCAGAACTCTCAGAACGCTATCAGATGTCACTTGTTAAATCTACGTCAATCAGTGTAGATGAAGGGGAGGAGACAGGTTAAAGAAGGATTTTTAAGCCTTGAGACAATTGAGACATGGATTGTGTATGTGTGCCATTCAGAGGGTGAATGGGCAACACAAAATATTGAAGTGCCTTTGAATGGGGTATGGTGGTAGGTGCCAGGCGCGCCGGTTTGTATCAAGAACTGCAATGCTGCTGTTTTTTTTTCACGCTCAACAATTCCCGTATGTATCAAGATTGGTACACCACCCAAAGGACATCCAGCCAACTTGACACAACTGTGGGGTGCATTGGAGTCAACATGGGCCAGCAAATATAGCATATTTTAACATTGTATTATATTTAAAGCGTTGTGCTGGTTTAGAATTTTACTATTTGATAATGATCTATTATCTAATTATAATTAATTATATATAATTATATTATAAATTGGTGTGCAATTCAGTCTATGACCGTGAGAAACCAATAAAACCTTCTACTACTTAAAACAAATATTTTCAAGTTTTAGTAGGTACAGTATGTACTATAGATGGGGAGATAGAGGAAAGGGAACAGTGAGTGGTGAGTGGCAGAACGGGGGATTGAACCACTGCCTCCAGGGGCATATGTGGTCTGGTGGCAGCACTACAACTAGACCAGCCCCCTGCACGTGCTGAAGTCTTGATAGTGCAATGCTATGGTTTTATTGATTACCTTCTTCAGTATCCTGGTTGCATAGCATTATTTAATGGACATTTCCATCCATTTCCACTGTATTTTCTCTTAGCTTCATATACTTCTCTGACTAACAATGCCACTGACACCCCTGTGAGCAAAATTGGTTGAAAGTCTCAACTTTTCAACGTCTTGTGCTCATAGGGTATAGTGTAGCCTCTACTGCATCTCCTCCTGTCAATGGTGGATGATAACAAAGATTATAACAAATGGCAAAAGGGAGCAAACCATTGGGTAAATGCACTGGGATGTATGATGATAGTGACTAAATGGTTGGAGAGGAGTCTATGAGTTACTGCTGCAGACGTAGATCATTCCCATGGCTGTTGTTGCCCCTTTCAGGAACCGGCTGCCAGACTGCAGTCTGGAGGAGCCCCACAGCAGCAAGCCTGACAGGAACTACAGAGACAGATCCCTACCAGGTCAGATCCTCATACTGTACTTCACTATACCTGGATAGATCAACAATGACCTTTCTCGTTTTTACTATCCTGGTCCCAGATCAGTTGGCTCTTTCTGCCAACTCCTATAGTCATTGTCACTCCTAGAGTCATTGGCAGACATCACAAACTGATCTAGGACCAGGCTAACACTAACACTGTACATTTGATTGGTACTGTCTATATTGAGTACTGTAGGTACTGTGTCAATGAGCTGTGGTGAATGCAATGTGGACTCTTGTCTAGTTTACATCATAGCGGGTAGGCGTTCCTCATTTTGTCAAGAGTTACAACTTAAACTGACCCCCTTGCCTTGCCTTAACACCCTCTCTCTGCTCCCAGGGTGCCCTGGGGCCCGGAAGAAAGAGTTCCTGCAGAGTCTGGTGAGAGCCCTGCAGCTGAAGGCTGAACAGTCTGGAATACTCAGCCCTCACAGGTCAGTCTGCATACCACTCTATTTATACTGAACAAAAATATAAACGCAACATGTAAAGTGTTGGTCCCATTTTTCATGAGCTGAAATAAAAGATCCCAGAAAGATATGCACCAAAATATTATTTCTCTCAAATGTTGTGCACAAATTTGTTTACATCCCTGTTAGTGAACATTTCTCCTTTGCCAAGACAATCCATCCACCAGACAGGTGTGGCATATCAAGAAGCTGATTAAACAGCATGATCATTATACAGGTGCACCTTGTGCTGGGGACAATAAAAGGCCACTCTAAAATGTGCAGTTTTGTCACACAACACAATGCCACAGATGTTTCAAGTTTTGAGGGAGCGTGCAATTGACATGCTGACTGCAGGAATGTCCACCAGAGCTGTTACCAGAGAATTTAATGTTCATTTCTCTACCATAAGCCAACGTTGTTTTAGAGAATTTGGCAGTACTTCCAACCGGCCTCACAACCGCAGACCACGTGTAACCACGCCAGCCCAGGACCTCCACATTCGGCTTCTTCACCTGCGGGATCGTTTGAGACCAGCCACCCAGACAGCTGATGAAACTGAGGAGTATTTCTGTCTGTAATAAAGCCCTTTTGTGGGGAAAAACTCATTCATGTGAAATCTATGGATTTCACATTACTGGGCAGGGGCACAGCCATGGGTGGGCCTGGGAGGGCATAGGACGACCACTGGCTGCGCCCCTGCCCAGTCATGTGAAATTCATAGATTAGCGCCTAATTTACTTATTTAAATTGACTGATTTCCTTATATGAACTGTAACACAGTAAAATTGTTGCATGTTGCGTTTGTATTTTTGTTCAGTATAATTAAACCCACTGGACTTACTCGCCCTGCCGTCTGTTTATATCTTGACTCCATCCCTCTCTTTCTCACTACAGGTCAGTCTGCATACCACTCTATTAAACCCCATGGACCTACTCATCCCATCTCTCTCTCTCTCCAGTTCATCGCTCTCTTTCTCACGCTTATATCTCTCCTCCTTCTCGTGGCCACTTAAATGCTCCGTACATCTTTTCCTTTCTCTCTCACCATCTGAACGTTTTTCACTCTGTTAATTTATACACACAACTCTCTCCTTCACTCAACCTCTTCTGTTTTACATATCCGTCCATCCATCTGTAACTCCCTGTATCTCTCACCCTGCTCTCTCCAAAACCCTCCTCTATTCCCTGACAGATAGTATAGTGGATTTCTGAATACATTACCAATTTACCAGGCCACTGATTGACTGTTGTGCCGTAATGGATCTGATAGTACTCCAGTATGTGATTAAATATTTCAAACATATCTTTAGATATACATTTGTTCTCTTGAATAAATCATTTTCATACCGATAGCCTTTCTGTTTATAAATAATTTGTTTGCTCTTTTCGGCTCGACACAGAAATTGGAATATGGTTATGTTCAATATGACTGATAAGCAAGGTTCAGGAATGGAGTGCTTATGAGAAATGAATTATTTCATCCTGACTGCAGGAATCTCATAAATGTAGATTCAATGACTAGTCAGACACTGTGGTTCTGTAAAAAACACATTGGAATGTCATCTTCAGTATGTCAGCAGGAGGCCCTCTTAAGAAGTCACTGCTAGATTTTCTCTGCATGTGGCTCATCTTAAAATAAACATTTGATTTCAATTCAAAACTATACAAGCCAATACATTACTATTGTACGCAGAAGAGCGATGCTACTGGTCTGAAATGTGTAATTTCTTTACCAGGGTGTCGGACGCCCCCCTGTCAGGCACCATGTCCCCTCCCCCATCCACCTCGGTCCCCTCCCTGGGGGTGGAGGAGTGGGACATGTCAGGGGTGGATGGGGGGCTGCGTTGGCACTTCAGACAGCTGGATACGGATGACAGTGGAGTGCTGACTGAACGTGAGGCCCGGCCCCTCCGCCTCTACCTGCGCAGGAGGTTAAAGCCACGACGCTGTGCTAAGAAGTTTGCCCAGTACTGCGACCGCGACGGGGACCGTGGTCTCACCCTGTCTGAGCTCAGTGCCTGTCTGGGGCTGTGAGGTGGGTTTGGTTCTAGGAGAGAGGTGAGGTGGGTTTGGGTAGTTTTGAGGTGGGTTTGTGCTTTGAGAAAAAACATCTGAAGAGGTGAATATGGGTTCAAATTTGGCTTTGTGATATGTTTAGTTTGTTACCACTTTGAGCTGAGAGGCTTTAAGTTGTGAGATTAGCCCTTCTGTATATGTTATGTAAGACCTACTGTATTTGATGAAAAGTCAAGAAGAAACCACTCAGGGATCTTTAAGTGGAGACTTATTGTGGGGTCGGTGCAGGACATGTTTTGTCAAGAAAGGCCTTTGCGGGAATTGGATTTCCCATCAGAGGTTGAAGTATGTTTATTTTGGAGCCGGGTGGTGGCTGTCGTTGAGGGCGGGGTTAACCTGTCGGGCTTGTGCTGCTTAATTTGGAGCCGTCTCCTCGCCTCTCCTGCGCAGAGTTTAACCCGCGCGTCAAGTTTGCTCTCACCCGGGCCGTGGTTCCCTGTTGTCTTGGCCTTCTGGCTTATGGTTTGGTTCAGAAGTGAGGGGGTTGGGTTGGGGGGGAAAAAAATTTTTAAAATTTAATTTGTTTTTTTTTTAGTTTAATTTATAGAGGCTTTAAAACCCCCTTCGAATTATTAGCCTCTGATTGAATAAAGTCCGATCGGTTTCCCACTCAACTTATTGACTTTTTTGTTGGTGTGGGGACTTTTTAGAAAAAAACGATCTTTAGCTGGGAAATGGTTTTCTCCTCTTAAGCCCTTTCTGGAAAAAATGAGGAAGAGAGAGAGAGAGACGAGTTAGTAAACGGGGGAAAAAAACTCTTGCATCCCCTTTCCTTCCTGGGAAACCCTTCTTCCTCTCATCCTCTCAGCGCGAGCATCTTCTGTGCTCGAGCTCGGAGACTGCTGATCTAAGGGCTCTTTATACCATCGGAGGGTGGGGGATTATTATCTCATCTCTTATTAACCCTTCATCATACGTCTCCCCCTTACCCACAATTGTTTTTTAGCAATTGTTTTAAGGATGTGAAGACTGTGACAAGATGTGGTTTGAGCAGTAACAGAAGCTGTGTGTTCTCACCCCAATGTATAGACCTGTCAGCAACGTCCCTCAGGGGCCCAGACCACAGGAGGTTGGTGGCACCTTAATCGGGGACGACAGGCCGTGGTAATGGCTGGAGTGGAATGGTATCAAATACAACAACCACATGGTTTCCATGTGTTTGATGCCATTTCATTTGCGCCGTTCCAGACATTATTGTGAGCCGTCCTCCCCTCAGCAGCATCCACTGGCCCAGACCCACTCCATACCAGCTCCAGATTGGTCTCTGTGTTTGGGTTTCTCTCTCCCTCTCTCTCCTTCTCTCCGTTCCATATACGAGAGGGTGAGAGAGAGAGAGAACGAGACAGAAAGAGAAAGAGGCTCTTTTACCTCCTCAAGGTTAGTGCTAGCTCACCAGGGACGGCTGTTTTTGGCTCGGTGTCAGATAAATTAAAAGGCTGCTGTGTGTTTATGTACATTTAGAAACCAAAACAAACCTCGAGCCAAAATGGCCACCCTGTCAGCTATCAATCCAACCCCGCCCTTAACCTCCAATAATTCAGTCTAGCTGAGGTGTAGTGACAGCTAGGGGAGAAGGTGAGAGTTGTTGTAATGGGGTTCTACCTAACACACTTATCTGTCCCCCAGACACTCCTGGTGACAGTAATAGGAATAATGAGGGACGCCTCCAATTATTCAGAACGACTCACCTGAAACAGAACTAAAGCCCACAAGACATAGGTTAGAGGTGCTGTTGAATTAAACAAGACAGTCATTCATGAATCTGTCTCTCTCTCCCCACTCCTCTCCTCCCCTCACCTCTCCTTTTCTATCCTTTCCTGTTTTACCTACAGTATCTGTCAGTAGAATCGAGGAGAGAAGGCAGAGGAGAGCATAGAGCAACAGAAGATCCAAGCCTGAAGTCCTGGGCCTGTATTTATCAAGTGTCTTAGAGTAGGAGTGCTGATCTAGGATCAATCTAATTCATTATGATCTAAAAAGAAAAACTGATTCTAGAACAGCGTTCCTACTCTGAAACGCTTGGTAAATAAAGGCCCCGAAGACCTGAATTCTGCTCCACTCCTGTCAAATTGTCATTGGAAGATCCAGTTCTACAGCACTTTGTAAAACACAAACATAAGGCCTCAATTGAAGCACCGTTGCAGAATATACAGTACACAGAATAGAGAATATAGTCGCCGCTTTATTTTAATGTGTCCTATGTCTTTTGTGTTATCTTGTTGGCTCTGATCATTTCCTCATATTCATGTTTATCAGTAATGGTCTTCTGCTGTAAAACCACAGTGCAACTTGTGTTTTTGTCATTTTAATCTGTAAACCGTGCTCAAATATTTGTTGACTATAAATAAAATGGATTTTAAAAATACAATACTGTTTTATGCAGTGTACAGATCCCTATATGGATTAACCCACCTGGGGAGCAAGTGGCATAGTAAAATGACTTAGGGTTTTCATCTGTGTTTGTTTATGATGAATGCAACAATAATTTCCAATATCTTTTGAAGGAATCACTAACAAATGGAGACGTATGGCGCTCAAGCCTACAATGTGACTGATAGAGGACTGGACATAAAATACATTCCTGAGAGTAAAGCAGTGATTTTGAAGAGCGCGTTAGCTAAAGCTGGGGTAGCATCTCCTGGGAAGGATAAGATGTGTTACATCATGATGGCTCATCGCAGTGACACTGAAATGGGGAAAGTATTGGGCCTTTACAATAAGGTGTGGCAGGAAGGAAAACTGCCTGGAAGTTGGAAGCAGGCTGTAGTGGTGCCGATACAGAAACCAGGGAAAGACTCTACTAGTCCTTCAAGCTATAGGCCGATAGCGTTGACATCTCACGTATGTAAACTTATGGAAAGGATGATAACGGAAAGGCTGACTTACTTCCTGGAGAGTAGAGGACTAATGTCACCTGATCAAAGTGGGTTCAGGAAAGGCAGGGGAATGATGGATCCTGTACTGTGCCTTGAGTCAGTCACATGGAAGGCACAGGCAAATAAGGAGGTGGTGGTGTCTGTTTTATTTGATGTACAGAAGGCCTATGATATGATGTGGAAGGAGGGCGTACTTATCAAGCTGGGTATCATGGCGGTTGGAGGAAGGGTTTTTAACTGGATAAAAGTTTATATTTTTGGGCGATCAATACAAGTGAGGGTGGGAGCTCTGTCAGAAAGTTATGAAGTAGATAATGGTATCCCCCAGGGAAGTGTCATTAGTCATGTGTTGTTCTCCATTATGATTGACAATGTATTCTGCCAGGTGAGACCTGAAATTGGGAGGTCATTGTTTGCGGTTGACGGGGCACTGTGGAAGAGAGGGAGAAATATTACCCATACAGCCAGGAGAGTTCAAGAAGCAATCAGTGAAGTTGAGCATTGGTCCCTCAGGTGGGGCTTTAAGTTTTCATTTGAGAAAACACAGACTGTGTTTTTTTCTAGAAGGAAGGCTGGGGAGGAAATATACTTGTATGGAAGGAATCTGGAGAGGGTGGGATTGTTCCTAGGGGTCTGGTTTGACACTCGAATGACATGGGCAGAGCATATTATCAGACTAGTTGTCAAAGGAAATAAAATATTGAATGGGATACGTTGCCTGTCAGGAATGGAGTAAGGGGCAGATAGAATGGCGTTGAAAATGCTATATATAGTGCTGTTAAGGTCATCACTGGATTATGGAAGTGTAGCATATGGATCAGCAGCTCAGACATCTTTAAAAAAGCTAGATGTTGAGGAGCACTCAGGACCTCCCCGGTGGCAGCGATGCAGGTAGACTTGGGAGAGATGCTGTGAAAGTTAAGAAGACAACAGCTAGCCATGGCATATTGGGTAAATCTACAGGGACATACGGTTACCCATCTTACAAAAAAGGTGCTCCTAGAGTGCTGGGAACATGAACAACATCTGAATACAAGTTTTGGGTGGATCGGCAATGGCATGGCGAGAGAGATGGGACTGTTTGGGAGGGAGTTTAGCCCCTCTGTGGTTCTTCCTGCTATCCCACCTTGGTTGCTCCCTCAGCCAATGATCGATCTAGGGTTGCTTGAGAGGGTAAGAGCTGTTGAGGAAGGAGTAGATTCACAGATGGATCTAAGGACCCTAAAACAGGGAGGACAGGTGCAGCTTTTAGTGTTCCTGAGTTTAAGGTGGCAGTGACAAAAAAAGCAACGGATCATTTATCCGTTTACACAATGGAGTTGATGACAATACTCTTGGCTGCAGAGTGGGTGGGGAGGTGAGGCCAGACAGAGAAGTAATCTGCTCTGACTCATGTGCAGCACTGATGAGCTTAAATTAATGTGTGTCTCGGAGCAGACGGGATGTATTGTATGAGGTTTTGCAGTGCTTGTATCGGGTGAAACAGATGGGCGTATTTGTGATGTTCCCCTGGGTACCAGCTCATGTGGGAGTAGAGGGGAATGAGGAGGTGGATGTTATCATCAAGCAGGCTCTTAAACATCCTAATGTTGAGATGGAATTGTAAAGCAGAAACCGAAGGGTTGATAAAAACTGTGGTTAAAAACAAATGGCAAGAGTTGTGGAATAGGGAGGGAAAGGGAAGACACCTGTATAAGATCCAGGAAAAGGTGGGAGCAGAGAGGTCATCAGGCCGAGAGAAAAGGGAGGAAAGTGTAGTCACAAGGCTGAGACTGGGACACACAAGGCTCAGTAGTACATTGAAATTGGTGGGGAAACATCCGACTGGGCGGTGTGATCATTGTCAGGAGGAGATGGAAACAGTGTAACACGTTCTATTTCAGTGCCAGAAATATAGGAGTGAAAGGGAGCGATTGTTATTAGATTTGAGTGGTAATGGGGTTGAAGAGCCAATATTAAGTGAACAGCTGGGGAAATCTTCAGGGGATGTAATATTTAATTATGTATTTCGTTTCCTTAAGGAGACGAGAATATTGGGTAGGATTTAAACCTTCCCTGTCTCTGGTCCAGACTCCAGTCCAGTTGGTGGTGGTAATGAACCTTAAAGCTGGTTGCC